ACCACCAAAGACCATCAAACACCATTAAAATCCATGATATAATCCCTGCGGCTAAACACCAAGAAAACGACCATTCAGATACAGGGTCATGGCTTGTGAGCGCCACTTTCCTGTGTATGGCGCCCGAGGCACCAAAAGGAAGGCGTGATGAAGCGTTGGGTGCCGGGCTGTTGATTTGGAATTGGAAACCCTAAATTTTGTGGTTTAATCATGGTTGATATAATGGTTTTATTGGTTAACAATGGTTATTCATGGATGTTTATTAAGGTTGATTATATAATGACCGTCAAGAATGGTGCAATGATTCTGGCTAATATGATTGCTGATAGCTATGATGGCTATGCTAGCTGATAGTCTAATAGTTGTTGTATCATAATCATTTCTAAAAGCAAATACTGGTCTCTATATACTTGCAATGGTTACTCACAATGGATACATACCCATCAAACAGTTTCTTTAGCCGTTGACATGGGAATCTACAGCGAACCCATATTCATGGCCATATCTGCCGGAAAAGCGGAGGGGGTTGGGATTTGAATCATTTTACTTGCAAAAAATGGGATGCTGTACCTCTTTTTTTTGGTGAGGGGGTGGTTTCGTTCATATTCTTATATGTTAAAAACATTGAAAAGGGACGATGATCCGCGATGACTTTCATATTCTTGGGATAGGTTGAAATTACCAAACAGTGTTATGCAATTATATGAACACATACTGGTATGATGATATATGATACGGACATACGCGTTCATATGCAGTAAAAAATAAGTACATCACATTTTTCGTAGCTCGGACAGACCCATTTCCCTTGATGGCATTGACTGTTCCTTCCCAAAAAAGATGACCCTCCGGTAACCATGGCCTGGCGGAAAATGTCCATGTTCAAGAGGTAAGTGATCTACATATGGACATATGGGTCATTTCACATGGCTACGTTAGATGACCAGAGGGCAGAGTCTGATTTGTTCTTGTCCACCACTTTTTTGGTGCAAAAATAGGGCACAGCAAAGCCCAAGTCATCATTTAATCATTTTACACTCAATAAGATACGTAAGATACGTACCGCAATTTTGGGGCTACACCTTTCTGGACCGTTTCTTGGTGCCATTTTTGATGGCTCCAACTCTGAAGGCCGACGACGTGGCCACTTTGGCATTTGCACAGTCCGAGGTGCGAAAACATGACCCGAAAAGGGAAAGCCCCTCGTCTGTGACGCGGAAATCTTCCTCATCTGTGACCCGGACGCGTTTCCTCGGATGTGACCCGGTCCCTCGGTTGTGACGCGAGGTGTGTTTTTGCGTGGTAGGTGTGGCACTTTCTGCCATCGATGGTCTCCTTGTGTGGCACGTGTTGTGCCTGGTGACATCGACTTTGCATTTCTGTCGTTTTTCCTCGGATTTGACCTTTTTCCTTGTGTGATGAGCTTGCCGTGCCTGTGTGTGTACAGGAACATGAACGTTATTATCCCCCCCCACCCCACCCCACCCCACCCCACCCCACCCACCCACCCCACCCCCCCCAATAGTGAACCATGATGAACGTGCAGCTCTTGTGTGATGAGCTTGCCGTGCCTGTGTGTGTACAGGAACATGAACGTTATTATCCCACCCCGCCCCACCACCCTACCCCACCCACCGCAAAACCCACAGATGAGGGGAAAATGGTGTCGCAGATGAGGGAAAATCAGGGGTGTTTTGGGGTCACAGATGAGGAGGATTTGGGGTCACAGATGAGGGGCTTACCCCCAAAAATGGCTCTATGGTTGACCCCGGTTTTTAAACAGAACGAATTCCTGTTGGGGGAAGATCCCAGACAATCCCAGACATAATGACCCCATCCCCGGCAGCGAGGCCTACGAGGCTGTGAAGATTGCTCGGCCGAAGGTTCTTCCAAAGCCGATGCAGGACAAGGTTGGGCTGTGACCCGTTGACCAAACGCTGGGGTTTAGTTAGATTTGTTCCGAAAACGGACTGGAAAAAAAACGACGTTCTCAAGGTTTGGTTGAAACCCTGGCTTTTTTTTTACAGCAAGTGATCGGTCAGTTGCCTTCAGCAAACATTCGCAAGCTTGGCCCTTTTAGCAACAATAGTGGGGGGATAACAGTATAATGAACAATAGTAGGGGGTATCGCGCACCCTGAAAATTTGGAGAGCCCACCAAGAAACAAGACAGGGCTGAGAGCCTCATTTTTTCCATTCAAATGATGATGCAATGACAAAGCATGAGGCACTACTTGTCTTCTCTTGGATATAAATCCATCCCAGAGAGATAAGGTTCACATCCCCCACACGTATATATCTTATAAGAATTTTAGAGCCACAGACTGGGAGGCTCTCAAATAATTATTTTTGCAGATTTTTTTTTCAGTTGCCTTGTCGGTCTGCACTTCAGTTTCCTTTGAATCTTCAGTTTCATCATCAGTTTTTTTCGGTTCCATCATTTTTTTTTCCGGTCCTCGCTTCGTTTTTTTTCCGGTGAGGAATGGAGATCGCACTAAAGAAAAAACAAATTTGAAACCCAACTGAAAAAAACTGAAAACCAAACTGAAGATCGAACTGCAAAAAATGAAAAAAATAAATCAATATTTCCCATTTCTGGCAAGCAAAGAATCTCACAATATACATATATATATATAATACAATATCTGTTTTTACATATATGCAGATAGATAGGTAGATTAGATTAGATTAGATTAGATAGATAGATAGATAGATACTTAGATAGATAGATAGATACTTAGATAGATAGATAGATAGATAGATAGATAGATAGATACTTAGATAGATAGATAGATAGATAGATAGATAGATACTTAGATAGATAGATAGATAGATAGATAGATAGATAGATTAGATAGATTAGATAGATTAGATAGATTAGATAGATTAGATAGATTAGATAGATTAGATAGATTAGATAGATTAGATAGATTAGATAGATTAGATAGATTAGATAGATTAGATAGATTAGATAGATTAGATAGATTAGATAGATTAGATAGATTAGATAGATTAGATAGCTTAGATAGATTAGATAGATTAGATAGATTAGATAGATTAGATAGATTAGATAGATTAGATAGATTAGATAGATTAGATAGATTAGATTAGATTAGATAGATTAGATAGATTAGATAGATTAGATAGATTAGATAGATTAGATAGATTAGATTAGATAGATTAGATAGATTAGATTAGATTAGATTAGATTAGGGATAGGTAGATAGATAGATAGATAGGTAGATAGATAGATAGATAGAAAGATAGATAGATAGATAGATAGATAGATGATATAGATAGATTGATTGATTGATTGGTTGATAGATAGATAGATAGATAGACAGATAGATAGATAGGCTGACAGATAGACAGACAGACCGATAGAAATGAACACATGAATAAACAAACAAATTAATACAGTAGATAAATAGATAAATGACAAAGTAACCCAATAAATGAATACTGTGATACAGTAAATAGATAAATAATTAACTAAATAAATGCATAAATGAATAGATAAATACTATAATCATATGTGCACGGATGAGCTGAGATTAGGGTGACAATTACTGCTTTCCAAAATGGGTTTCGCCATGTGCGGCCAGGGCGCAGCGTCGACAAGCTTGGTGACCAAGGAGGCATGGCCAGAGCGGCAAAAGTTATTCGAAAACTAAAGAACCAACTGGAACTGGAACTGGAACTTTTCCATATTTTTAGGTTCCATTCTTTCCGTTGTTTGGCTATTCGTTCCATTGGTTCCATTGTTTCCATTGGTTCCATTGGTTCCATTGGTTGTGGAGAACTCCTCTCCAGAGCCCTAGAATTTTCGGCTGCATTTTGTCTATGGCCAGGCATTTCAGCTAGAACCTCATCAGCAGGTGCGATGGTGGGTCTATGGCTGTGGGGTCGGATTCAACATGATTTCGCAAACGATAAATATCGGTCTTGTAGGCTTTAATATGTTCAATGGGGATTAATGGGGTTCAACAAAACATATGGACTTTATACTTAGGACTTCTGAATGAATTCTATCCAACGGGTAAGGTGCTTACAATTTCAATTTATTTTGTGGCAGCCAGTGACTGTTTTCTCATCACCTTCCGTTTTTTTGCGCCAAACAAGTCAGCAACTCTACTACTAGGTGCCATGAACAATGCATCAATACCATTCAATACCCTCTTAAATGTGGCTGTGAAAGCCGCTCTAGGTGCACCACGGTGACTCTGGCGGATGTTTCGAATATTGGGATGGGATTAGGGACACCAATTTTCACATTGTTATGGTCCAGCTCCCGGCCCCCAGGGATCTCAAGCGCCGGAGTCGAACCAGTCGGTGCCGCATAGTTCGGAGGTGCCCTGGTCAGATTCATCCAAGGAGCCATCGGTCCAGCCATCGTTTGGCCGTCGTTCCAGGGTCCCAAAGTATCCAATTTGCCATATTTGCCGGTACCATGGTGCTCATTGATCACATCCTGGATGACTTAGGCCCCCCACTCTCCACACATGTGATTCTCATCGTGTTTCAATTTTTTTAAATATTTTTGGAGGGTAATGGTTGCCGGAGTTCTCTCAGCCGGTGCTCTGGGTGACCCTGGTGATTGCCATCCATGCCACTCAGGAGGGACAGCCTGTGGCCAAGCAAGTTGCCGCCCAGTGGCAGAATGGGGAGGACTGGCACGGGCAGCGCTGGCAGGCGCAGCGTGGTGAGCTGCCAACCGGGATTGAATCAGCAACCAGGAAAGAACGGGCAAAAAATGTGGAGAGGACACAACCTGCAACCTGTGATACGTCAAGGCAGATGATTTCAGAAGCATTTGGGTTTGCTCCCAACCTTTCCACCTCAGGGCTTTGCCTCTGAGTCGAACCAGTCCATGACGCAGTATCAGGAACAGGTGCCACGATGGCAACGGGGGGGCCCTACTTAGATTCTACTTGGCATTTCTGGCTCACCAAAAAAGGCTTGAGAGGGTTTCTTCTATTTTCCAGCCAGATCTGTACTGGGATGATTACCCAATCGCAGGTAACGGGCGTCCTGGATCCTCATTGGCATCAAAGAAAGGCGTGCTGGTAGATGACTTGTGAGCCTCCATGTTTGAAGCACCAAGTAACTTGCCTGTATAACAGGGCAAACTACATATGGTGCCTATGAGAATCTGTGATCTTGCAAGCAAAAACACCAATAAGAATGATAGATAGACAGATAGATAGATAGACAGATAGAAATGAATACATAAATAAACAGACAAATTAATACAATAGATAAATAGATAAGTAACACAGTAGCCCAATAAATGAATACAGTGATACAGTAAATAGATAAATAATTAACTAAATAAATGCATAAATGCTAGATAAATACTATGATTCTTTATTTATATATATATATTTATACAGTACACGGATGAGCTGAGATTAGGGTGACAATTACTGCTTTCCAAAATGGGTTTCGCCATGTGCGGCCAGGGCGCAGCGTCGACAAGCTTGGTGACCAAGGAGGCATGGCCAGAGCGGCAAAAGTTATTCGAAAACTAAAGAACCAACTGGAACTGGAACTGGAACTTTTCCATATTTTTAGGTTCCATTCTTTCCGTTGTTTGGCTATTCGTTCCATTGGTTCCATTGTTTCCATTGTTTCCATTGGTTCCATTGGTTGTGGAGAACTCCTCTCCAGAGCCCTAGAATTTTCGGCTGCATTTTGTCTATGGCCAGGCATTTCAGCTAGAACCTCATCAGCAGGTGCGATGGTGGGTCTATGGCTGTGGGGTCGGATTCGACATGATTTCGCAAACGAGAAATATCGGTCTTGTAGGCTTTAATATGTTCAATGGGGATTGGACTTTATACTTAGGACTTCTGAATGAATTCTATCCAACGGGTAAGGTGCTTACAATTTCAGTTTATTTTGTGGCAGTGACTGTTTTCTCATCACCTTCTGTTTTTTTGCGCCAAACAAGTCAAGCAACTCTACTACTAGGTGCCATGAACAATGCATCAATACCCGCTTAAATGGCTTAAATGTGGCTGTGAAAGCCGCTCTAGGTGCACCACGGTGACTCTGGCGGATGTTTCGAATATTGGGATGGGATTAGGGACACCAATTTTCACATTGTTATGGTCCAGCTCCCGGCCTTCCCCAGGGATCTCAAGCGCCGGAGTCGAACCAGTCCGTGGTGCCGCATCGTTCGGAGGTGCCCTGGTTGCACAGATTCATCCAAGGAGCCATCGGTCCAGCCCTCGTTTGGCCGTCGTTCCAGGGTCCCAAAGTATCCAATTTGCCATATTTGCCGGTACCATGGTGCTCATTGATCACATCCTGGATGACTTAGGCCCCCCACTCTCCACACATGTGATTCTCATCGTGTTTCAATTTTTTTAAATATTTTTGGAGGGTAATGGTTGCCGGAGTCCTCTCAGCCGGTGCTCTGGGTGACCCTGGTGATTGCCATCCATGCCACTCAGGAGGGACAGCCTGTGGCCAAGCAAGTTGCCGCCCAGTGGCAGAATGGGGAGGACTGGCACGGGCAGCGCTGGCAGGCGCAGCGTGGTGAGCTGCCAACCAGGATTGAATCAGCAACCAGGAAAGAACGGGCAAAAAATGTGGAGAGGACACAACCTGCAACCTGTGATACGTCAAGGCAGATGATTTCAGAAGCATTTGGGTTTGCTCCCAACCTTTCCACCTCAGGGCTTTGGAGTCTCTGAGTCGAACCAGTCCATGACGCAGTATCAGGAACAGGTGCCACGATGGCAACGGGGGGCCCTACTTGGATTCTACTTGGCATTTCTGGCTCACCAAAAAAGGCTTGAGAGGGTTTCTTCTATTTTCCAGCCAGATCTGTACTGGGATGATTACCCAATCGCAGGTAACGGGCGTCCTGGATCCTCATTGGCATCAAAGAAAGGCGTGCTGGTAGATGACTTGTGAGCCTCCATGTTTGAAGCGCCAAGTAACTTGCCTGTATAACAGGGCAAACTACATATGGTGCCTATGAGAATCTGTGATCTTGCAAGCAAAAACACCAATAAGAATGATAGATAGACAGATAGATAGATAGACAGACAGATAGAAATGAATACATAAATAAACAGACAAATTAATACCAGTAGTACCGCGCAAGGCGGTGGCGGAAGTTTCAAAGATAGGAAACCTATAGGAGAGGTTGGTTGTTGTGAATCAGGGATGGCAGAGAGAAGCCACTGATGGACCGAAAGGTGCTCGATCTCTCTCTCTCTCTCTACCTACCTATCTATCTAGCTGTCTAGTTTTCTAGCTATTTGTCTATCTATCTATCTATCTATCTATCTATCTGTCTATCTCTCTATCTATCTATCTATCTATCGATCTATCGATCTATCGATCTATCTATCTATCGATCCATCGATCTATCGATCTATCTATCTATCTATCTATCTATCTCTAATCTATCTAATCTATCTAATCTATCTAATCTAAATCTATCTATCTATCTATCTATCTATCTATGTATCTATCTATCTAACTAGCTGTCTATGTGTCTATGCCTCTATCTGTCTATTTATCTATTTATCTATCTAGTCAATCAATCTATCAATCTATCTATCTATCTGTCTATCTATCCATCCATCCATCGATCCATCTATCCATCTATCCATGTATCCATCTATCCATCCATCCATCCATCCATCTATCTATCTATCTATCGATCGAGTGATCTATCTATCTATCTGTCTGTCTGTCTGTCTGTCTGTCTGTCTCTCTTTCTATCTGTCTACCTGTCTATTTATCTACCTATCGACCTATGGACCTATCTATCTATCTATCTATCTATCTATCTATCTATCTATCTATCTCTCTCTTTCTCTCTCTCTCTCTCTCTCTTCTCTCTCTTTCTCTCTCTTTCTCTCTCTTTCTCTCTCTTTCTCTCTCTTTCTCTCTCTTTCTCTCTCTCTCTCTCTCTCTCTCTCTCTCTCTGTCTATCTATCTACCTGTCTATCTGCAAGCTTGAAAACCAAGCTATTCTGCGAGATGTCTTCTGTTTTCAAAGTTGACAACATCAAAACGAAGTAATTCTACGAGACTTCCTCAATTTTTGAACTTAACAACGTCAAAAACGAAACAATTCTGCGAGACTTCTTCTTTTTTTTGGACTTGACAACATCCAAAACGAAGCAATTCTGCGAGACTTCTTCAATTTTTGAACTTGACAACATCAAAAACAAAGCAATTCTGCGAGACTTCCTTCAAAAATGGAAAGTTGAGTGCAGCGCTGACGGCCTCGTACCAATGCGTTTTGTGATTTTTCCACTCCACCTGTGTAAAGTACTGCGCCTGCCACGAAAAATTGATGCCAGGTCATACGAAGTGCTGCACCTGTCACGCAAAATCATCTCAGCGAACCTGAAGATCTGACACTCCAAAATGCAACCCCTCTCACGAAATGAGCGCCCTGACCTCCGAACATCTCTCATGTCTTTTGTACTGCAACTTCCACGCGAAATGCATCTTTGAAGATCCTCTTCAAATGCCCCACGCTTGCCATCGTTTCTGGAAATGCTGCAAAACCCTCACGTTTTGCTCACCATTGACAAGGTGCACAATCCTTTGCGCCTGCCACGCAAAACGACATCTGAACCTCCAAAAGTGGCGCGAACATGTGGTGTTTTGTACATTTTGACTTCGAAATGTGCTTCGCGCAACAACGGCGTGCATTTTTTCGACATCTCAACTTCCAAAAGTGGTCCGACCATGGTGTGCTTTGTACATTTTGACTTGGAAATGTGCTTCGCGCCACAACGGCGTGCACTTTTTCGACATCTCAGCTTCCAAAAGTGGTCCGAGAATGGTGTGTTTTGTACATTTTGACTTCGAAATGTGCTTCGCGCCACAACGGCGTGCAATTTTTCATCTCTCATCTGGCCAGCTGGCTCCGCACCCGCCGCTTTAGCGAGCCTACTTTTCGACCCTCCGGAGCCCCAAATCATTGGAAAAACACAGTGTTTCGCGACTTTCCTACCTTTTCGCGCATCTGCATCTTCTTTCTTCTTACTCTTTCTCTTCTACTCTTCTTTCTTCTAATCTTTCTCTTCTCTCTGCCTCTTCCCTGCTCTGCCTTTCATCTGTCCATATTGTCGGAAGTTTGACTTCTAAACTTCCTTCGACAATAGATAAATAGATAAGTAGCACAGTAGCCCAATAAATGAATACAGTGACACAGTAAATAGATAAATAATTAACAAAATAAATGCATAAATGAATAGAGAAATACTATGATTCTTTTTATATATATATATTATATATATACATTTATATAGTACACGGATGAGCTGAGATTAGGGTGACAGTTACTGCTATGTGCGGCCAGGGTGTCGCAGCGTCAAGCTTGGTGACCAAGGAGGCATGGCCAGAGCGGCAAAAGTTATTCGAAAACTAAAGAACCAACTGGAACTGGAACTGGAACTTTTCCATATTTTTAGGTTCCATTCTTTCCGTTGTTTGGCTATTCGTTCCATTGGTTCCATTCTTTCCATCGGTTCCATTGGTTCCATTGGTTGTGGAGAACTCCTCTCCAGAGCCCTAGAATTTTCGGCTGCATTTTGTCTATGGCCAGGCATTTCAGCTAGAACCTCATCAGCAGGTGCGATGGTGGGTCTATGGCTGTGGGGTCGGATTCGACATGATTTCGCAAACGAGAAATATCGGTCTTGTAGGCTTTAATATGTTCAATGGGGATTAATGGGGTTCAACAAAACATCATATGGACTTTATACTTAGGACTTCTGAATGAATTCTATCCAACGGGTAAGGTGCTTACAATTTCAATTTATTTTGTGGCAGCCAGTGACTGTTTTCTCATCACCTTCCGTTTTTTTGCGCCAAACAAGTCAGCAACTCTACTACTAGGTGCCATGAACAATGCATCAATACCATTCAATACCCTCTTAAATGTGGCTGTGAAAGCCGCTCTAGGTGCACCACGGTGACTCTGGCGGATCGAATATTGGGATGGGATTAGGGACACCAATTTTCACATTGTTATGGTCCAGCTCCCGGCCCCCAGGGATCTCAAGCGCCGGAGTCCAACCAGTCGGTGCCGCATCGTTCGGAGGTGCCCTGGTCAGATTCATCCAAGGAGCCATCGGTCCAGCCGTTTGGCCGTCGTTCCAGGGTCCCAAAGTATCCAATTTGCCATATTTGCCGGTACCATGGTGCTCATTGATCACATCCTGGATGACTTAGGCCCCCCACTCTCCACACATGTGATTCTCATCGTGTTTCAATTTTTTTAAATATTTTTGGAGGGTAATGGTTGCCGGAGTTTTTTTTAGCCGATGCTCTGGGTGACCCTGGTGATTGCCATCCATGCCACTCAGGAGGGACAGCCTGTGGCCAAGCAAGTTGCCGCCCAGTGGCAGAATGGGAAGGACTGGCACGGGCAGCGCTGGCAGGCGCAGCGTGGTGAGCTGCCAACCAGGATGGAATCAGCAACCAGGAAAGAACGGGCAAAAAATGTGGAGAGGACACAACCTGCAACCTGTGATACGTCAAGGCAGATGATTTCAGAAGCATTTGGGTTTGCTCCCAACCTTTCCACCTCAGGGCTTTGGAGTCTCTGAGTCGAACCAGTCCATGACGCAGTATCAGGAACAGGTGCCACGATGGCAACGGGGGGACCCTACTTAGATTCTACTTGGCATTTCTGGCTCACCCAAAAAAGGCTTGAGAGGGTTTCTTACTATTTTCCAGCCAGATCTGTACTGGGATGATTACCCAATCGCAGGTAACGGGCGTCCTGGATCCTCATTGGCATCAAAGAAAGGCGTGCTGGTAGATGACTTGTGAGCCTCCATGTTTGAAGCACCAAGTAACTTGCCTGTATAACAGGGCAAACTACATATGGTGCCTATGAGAATCTGTGATCTTGCAAGCAAAAACACCAATAAGAATGATAGATAGACAGATAGATAGATAGACAGACAGATAGAAATGAATACATAAATAAACAGACAAATTAATACAATAGATAAATAGATAAGTAACACAGTAGCCCAATAAATGAATACAGTGATACAGTAAAAAGATAAACAATTAACTAACTAACTAAATAAATAAATAAAAAATAAATAAATAAATATATATATATATAGTACACGGATGAGCTGAGATTAGGGTGACAATTACTGCTTTCCAAAATGGGTTTCGCCATGTGCGGCCAGGGCGCAGCGTCGACAAGCTTGGTGACCAAGGAGGCATGGCCAGAGCGGCAAAAGTTATTCGAAAACTAAAGAACCAACTGGAACTGGAACTGGAACTTTTCCATATTTTTAGGTTCCATTCTTTCCGTTGTTTGGCTATTCGTTCCATTGGTTCCATTGTTTCCATTGTTTCCATTGGTTCCATTGGTTGTGGAGAACTCCTCTCCAGAGCCCTAGAATTTTCGGCTGCATTTTGTCTATGGCCAGGCATTTCAGCTAGAACCTCATCAGCAGGTGCGATGGTGGGTCTATGGCTGTGGGGTCGGATTCGACATGATTTCGCAAACGAGAAATATCGGTCTTGTAGGCTTTAATATGTTCAATGGGGATTAATGGGGTTCAACAAAACATCATATGGACTTTATACTTAGGACTTCTGAATGAATTCTATCCAACGGGTAAGGTGCTTACAATTTCAATTTATTTTGTGGCAGCCAGTGACTGTTTTCTCATCACCTTCCGTTTTTTTGCGCCAAACAAGTCAGCAACTCTACTACTAGGTGCCATGAACAATGCATCAATACCATTCAATACCCTCTTAAATGTGGCTGTGAAAGCCGCTCTAGGTGCACCACGGTGACTCTGGCGGATCGAATATTGGGATGGGATTAGGGACACCAATTTTCACATTGTTATGGTCCAGCTCCCGGCCCCCAGGGATCTCAAGCGCCGGAGTCCAACCAGTCGGTGCCGCATCGTTCGGAGGTGCCCTGGTCAGATTCATCCAAGGAGCCATCGGTCCAGCCGTTTGGCCGTCGTTCCAGGGTCCCAAAGTATCCAATTTGCCATATTTGCCGGTACCATGGTGCTCATTGATCACATCCTGGATGACTTAGGCCCCCCACTCTCCACACATGTGATTCTCATCGTGTTTCAATTTTTTTAAATATTTTTGGAGGGTAATGGTTGCCGGAGTTCTCTCAGCCGGTGCTCTGGGTGACCCTGGTGATTGCCATCCATGCCACTCAGGAGGGACAGCCTGTGGCCAAGCAAGTTGCCGCCCAGTGGCAGAATGGGGAGGACTGGCACGGGCAGCGCTGGCAGGCGCAGCGTGGTGAGCTGCCAACCGGGATTGAATCAGCAACCAGGAAAGAACGGGCAAAAAATGTGGAGAGGACACAACCTGCAACCTGTGATACGTCAAGGCAGATGATTTCAGAAGCATTTGGGTTTGCTCCCAACCTTTCCACCTCAGGGCTTTGCCTCTGAGTCGAACCAGTCCATGACGCAGTATCAGGAACAGGTGCCACGATGGCAACGGGGGGGCCCTACTTAGATTCTACTTGGCATTTCTGGCTCACCAAAAAAGGCTTGAGAGGGTTTCTTCTATTTTCCAGCCAGATCTGTACTGGGATGATTACCCAATCGCAGGTAACGGGCGTCCTGGATCCTCATTGGCATCAAAGAAAGGCGTGCTGGTAGATGACTTGTGAGCCTCCATGTTTGAAGCACCAAGTAACTTGCCTGTATAACAGGGCAAACTACATATGGTGCCTATGAGAATCTGTGATCTTGCAAGCAAAAACACCAATAAGAATGATAGATAGACAGATAGATAGATAGACAGATAGAAATGAATACATAAATAAACAGACAAATTAATACAATAGATAAATAGATAAGTAACACAGTAGCCCAATAAATGAATACAGTGATACAGTAAATAGATAAATAATTAACTAAATAAATGCATAAATGCTAGATAAATACTATGATTCTTTATTTATATATATATATTTATACAGTACACGGATGAGCTGAGATTAGGGTGACAATTACTGCTTTCCAAAATGGGTTTCGCCATGTGCGGCCAGGGCGCAGCGTCGACAAGCTTGGTGACCAAGGAGGCATGGCCAGAGCGGCAAAAGTTATTCGAAAACTAAAGAACCAACTGGAACTGGAACTGGAACTTTTCCATATTTTTAGGTTCCATTCTTTCCGTTGTTTGGCTATTCGTTCCATTGGTTCCATTGTTTCCATTGGTTCCATTGGTTGTGGAGAACTCCTCTCCGGGGAGAGCCCTAGAATTTTCGGCTGCATTTTGTCTATGGCCAGGCATTTCAGCTAGAACCTCATCAGCAGGTGCGATGGTGGGTCTATGGCTGTGGGGTCGGATTCGACATGATTTCGCAAACGAGAAATATCGGTCTTGTAGGCTTTAATATGTTCAATGGGGATTGGACTTTATACTTAGGACTTCTGAATGAATTCTATCCAACGGGTAAGGTGCTTACAATTTCAGTTTATTTTGTGGCAGTGACTGTTTTCTCATCACCTTCCGTTTTTTTGCGCCAAACAAGTCAGCAACTCTACTACTAGGTGCCATGAACAATGCATCAATACCATTCAATACCCTCTTAAATGTGGCTGTGAAAGCCGCTCTAGGTGCACCACGGTGACTCTGGCGGATCGAATATTGGGATGGGATTAGGGACACCAATTTTCACATTGTTATGGTCCAGCTCCCGGCCCCCAGGGATCTCAAGCGCCGGAGTCGAACCAGTCCGTGGTGCCGCATCGTTCGGAGGTGCCCTGGTCAGATTCATCCAAGGAGCCATCGGTCCAGCCGTTTGGCCGTCGTTCCAGGGTCCCAAAGTATCCAATTTGCCATATTTGCCGGTACCATGGTGCTCATTGATCACATCCTGGATGACTTGGGCCCCCCACTCTCCACACATGTGATTCTCATCGTGTTTCTAATTTTTGGATATTTTTGGAGGGTAATGGTTGCCGGAGTTTTTTTTTAGCCGGTGCTCTGGGTGACCCTGGTGATTGCCATCCATGCCACTCAGGAGGGACAGCCTGTGGCCAAGCAAGTTGCCGCCCAGTGGCAGAATGGGAAGGACTGGCACGGGCAGCGCTGGCAGGCGCAGCGTGGTGAGCTGCCAACCAGGATTGAATCAGCAACCAGGAAAGAACGGGCCAAAAATGTGGAGAGGACAGAACCTGCAACCTGTGATACGTCAAGGCAGATGATTTCAGAAGCATTTGGGTTTGCTCCCAACCTTTCCACCTCAGGGCTTTGCCTCTGAGTCGAACCAGTCCATGACGCAGTATCAGGAACAGGTGCCACGATGGCAACGGGGGGGCCCTACTTACTTAGATTCTACTTGGCATTTCTGGCTCACCAAAAAAAGGCTTGAGAGGGTTTCTTACTATTTTCCAGCCAGATCTGTACTGGGATGATTACCCAATCGCAGGTAACGGGCGTCCTGGATCCTCATTGGCATCAAAGAAAGGCGTGCTGGTAGATGACTTGTGAGCCTCCATGTTTGAAGCACCAAGTAACTTGCCTGTATAACAGGGCAAACTACATATGGTGCCTATGAGAATCTGTGATCTTGCAAGCAAAAACACCAATAAGAATGATAGATAGACAGATAGATAGATAGACAGACAGATAGAAATGAATACATAAATAAACAGACAAATTAATACAATAGATAAATAGACAAGTAACAAAGTAGCCCAATAAATGAATACAGTGATACAGTAAATAGATAAATAATTAACTAAATAAATGCATAAATGAATAGATAAATACCATAATTCTTTATATAAATATATATACATATATATTGTAAACGGATGAGCTGAGATTAGGGTGACAATTACTGCTTTCCAAAATGGGTTTGGCCATGTGCGGCCAGGGCGCAGCGTCGACAAGCTTGGTGACCAAGGAGGCATGGCCAGAGCGGCAAAAGTTATTCGAAAACTAAAGAACCAACTGGAACTGGAACTGGAACTTTTCCATATTTTTAGGTTCCATTCTTTCCGTTGTTTGGCTATTCGTTCCATTGGTTCCATTGTTTCCATTGTTTCCATTGGTTCCATTGGTTGTGGAGAACTCCTCTCCAGAGCCCTAGAATTTTCGGCTGCATTTTGTCTATGGCCAGGCATTTCAGCTAGAACCTCATCAGCAGGTGCGATGGTGGGTCTATGGCTGTGGGGTCGGATTCAACATGATTTCGCAAACGAGAAATATCGGTCTTGTAGGGTTTAATATGTTCAATGGGGATTGGACTTTATACTTAGGACTTCTGAATGAATTCTATCCAACGGGTAAGGTGCTTACAATTTCAGTTTATTTTGTGGCAGCCAGTGACTGTTTTCTCATCACCTTCCGTTTTTTTGCGCCAAACAAGTCAGCAACCCTACTACTAGGTGCCATGAACAATGCATCAATACCATTCAATACCCGCTTAAATGTGGCTGTGAAAGCCGCTCTAGGTGCACCACGGTGACTCTGGCGGATCGAATATTGGGATGGGATTAGGGACACCAATTTTCACATTGTTATGGTCCATCTCCCGGCCTTCCCCAGGGATCTCAAGCGCCGGAGTCGAACCAGTCCGTGGTGCCGCATAGTTCGGAGGTGCCCTGGTCAGATTCATCCAAGGAGCCATCGGTCCAGCCCTCGTTTGGCCGTCGTTCCAGGGTCCCAAAGTATCCAATTTGCCATATTTGCCGGTACCATGGTGCTCATTGATCACATCCTGGATGACTTAGGCCCCCCACTCTCCACACATGTGATTCTCATCGTGTTTCAATTTTTTTAAATATTTTTGGAGGGTAATGGTTGCCGGAGTTCTCTCAGCCGGTGCTCTGGGTGACCCTGGTGATTGCCATCCATGCCACTCAGGAGGGACAGCCTGTGGCCAAGCAAGTTGCCGCCCAGTGGCAGAATGGGGAGGACTGGCACGGGCAGCGCTGGCAGGCGCAGCGTGGTGAGCTGCCAACCGGGATTGAATCAGCAACCAGGAAAGAACGGGCAAAAAATGTGGAGAGGACACAACCTGCAACCTGTGATACGTCAAGGCAGATGATTTCAGAAGCATTTGGGTTTGCTCCCAACCTTTCCACCTCAGGGCTTTGCCTCTGAGTCGAACCAGTCCATGACGCAGTATCAGGAACAGGTGCCACGATGGCAACGGGGGGGCCCTACTTAGATTCTACTTGGCATTTCTGGCTCACCAAAAAAGGTTTGAGAGGGTTTCTATTTTCCAGCCAGATCTGTCCTGGGATGATTACCCAATCGCAGGTAACGGGCGTCCTGGATCCTCATTGGCATCAAAGAAAGGCGTGCTGGCAGATGACTTGTGAGCCTCCATGTTTGAAGCACCAAGTAACTTGCCTGTATAACAGGGCAAACTACATATGGTGCCTATGATAATCTGTGATCTTGCAAGCAAAAACACCAATAAGAATGATAGATAGACAGACAGATAGAAATGAATACATAAATAAACAGACAAATTAGTACCAGTAGTACCGCGCAAGGCGTTGGCGGAAGTTTCAAAGATAGGAAACCTATAGGAGAGGTTGGTTGTTGTGAATCAGGGATGGCAGAGAGAAGCCACTGATGGACCGAAAGGTGCTTGATCTCTCTCTCTCTCTCTACCTACCTATCTATCTATCTATCTACCTATCTATCTATCTATCTATCTCTCTATCTATCTATCTATCTATCTATCTATCTATCTATCTAATCTATCTAATCTATCTATCTATCTAATCTATCTAATCTATCTAATCTATCTAATCTATCTAATCTATCTAATCTATCTAATCTATCTAATCAATCTAATCTATCTAATCTATCTAATCTATCTAATCTATCTAATCTATCTAATCTATCTAATCTATCTAATCTATCTAATCTATCTAATCTATCTAACCTATCTAACCTATCTAATCTATCTAATCTATCGAATCTATCGAATCTATCGAATCTATCGAATCTATCGAATCTATCTAATCTATCTAATCTATCTAACCTATCTAACCTATCTAATCTATCTAATCTATCTAATCTATCGAATCTATCGAATCTATCGAATCTATCGAATCTATCGATCTATCGATCTAATCGATCTAATCGATCTAATCGATCTAATCGATCTAATCGATCTATCGATCTATCGATCTATCGATCTATCGATCTATCGATCTATCGATCTATCGATCTATCGATCTATCGATCTATCGAGCTATCGATCTATCGATCTATCGATCTATCGATCTATCGATCTATCGATCTATCGATCTATCGATCTACCTATCTATCGATCTATCGATCTATCGATCTATCGATCTATTGATCTATCGATCTATCGATGTATCGATCTATCGATGTATCGATCTATCGATCTATCGATCTATCGATCTATCGATCTATCGATCTATCTATCTATCTATCTCTCGCTCTCTATCTCTCTATCTCTCTATCTCTCTATCTCTCTATCTCTCTATCTCTCTATCTCTCTATCTCTCTATCTATCTATCTATCTATCTGTCTACCTGTCTATTTATCTACCTATCGACCTATGGACCTATGGACCTATCTATCTATCTATCTATCTATCTATCTCTCTCTCGCTCTCGCTCTCTCGCTCTCTCGCTCTCTCTCTCTCTCTCTGTCTATCTATCTACCTGTCTATCTGCAAGCTTGAAAACCAAGCTATTCTGTGAGATGTCTTCATTTTCAAAGTTGACGCTATCAAAAACGAAGCAATTCTGCGAGACTTCCCCAATGTTTGAACTCAACAACCTCAAAAACGAAGCAATTCTGCGAGACCTCTTCATTTTGCAAAGTTGACAACATAGAAAACGCAGCAATTCAGCGAGACTTCCTCCATTTTTGCATTTGACAACATCAAAATCAAAGCAATTCTGCGAGACTTCCTTCAAAAATGGAAAGTTGAGTGCAGCGCTGACAGCCGCGTACCAATGCGTTTTGCGATTTTTCCACTCCACCTGTGTAAAGTACTGCGCCTGCCATGAAAAATTGATGCCAGGTAATACGAAGTGCTGCACCTGTCACGCAAAATCATCTCAGCGAACCTGAAGATCTGATACTCCAAAATGCAACCCCTCTCACGAAATGAGCGCCCTGACCTCCGAACATCTTTCATGTCTTTAGTACTGCAACTGCCACGCGAAATGCAACTTTGAAGATCCTCTTCAAATGCCCCACGCCTGCCATCGTTTCTGGAAATGCTGCAAAACCCTCACGTTTTGACAAGGTGCACAATCCTTTGCGCCTGCCACGCAAAACGACATCTGAACCTCCAAAAGTGGCGCGAACATGTGGTGTTTTGTACATTTTGACTTCGAAATGTGCTTCGCGCCACAACGGCGTGCATTTTTTCGACATCTCAACTTCCAAAAGTGGTCCGACCATGGTGTGCTTGGTACATTTTGACTTGGAAATGTGCTTCGCGCCACAACGGCGTGCACTTTTTCGACATCTCAGCTTCCAAAAGTGGTCCGAGAATGGTGTGGTTTGTACATTTTGACTTCGAAATGTGCTTCGCGCCACAACGGCGTGCAATACCCGCCGCTTTAGCGAGCCTACTTTTCGACCCTCCGGAGCCCCAAATCATTGGAAAAACACAGTGTTTCGCGACTTTCCTACCTTTTCGCGCATCTGCATCTTCTTTCTTCTTACTCTTTCTCTTCTACTCTTCTTTCTTCTAATCTTTCTCTTCTCTCTGCCTCTTCCCTGCTCTGCCTTTCATCTGTCCATATTGTCGGAAGTTTGACTTCTAAACTTCCTTCGACAATAGATAAATAGATAAGTAGCACAGTAGCCCAATAAATGAATACAGTGACACAGTAAATAGATAAATAATTAACAAAATAAATGCATAAATGAATAGAGAAATACTATGATTCTTTTTATATATATATATTATATATATACATTTATATAGTACACGGATGAGCTGAGATTAGGGTGACAGTTACTGCTATGTGCGGCCAGGGTGTCGCAGCGTCAAGCTTGGTGACCAAGGAGGCATGGCCAGAGCGGCAAAAGTTATTCGAAAACTAAAGAACCAACTGGAACTGGAACTGGAACTTTTCCATATTTTTAGGTTCCATTCTTTCCGTTGTTTGGCTATTCGTTCCATTGGTTCCATTCTTTCCATCGGTTCCATTGGTTCCATTGGTTGTGGAGAACTCCTCTCCAGAGCCCTAGAATTTTCGGCTGCATTTTGTCTATGGCCAGGCATTTCAGCTAGAACCTCATCAGCAGGTGCGATGGTGGGTCTATGGCTGTGGGGTCGGATTCAACATGATTTCGCAACGAGAAATATCGGTCTTGTAGGGTTTAATATGTTCAATGGGGATGAATGGGGTTCAACAATACATATGGACTTTATACTTAGGACTTTGAATGAATTCTATCCAACCGGTAAGGTGCTTACAATTTCAGTTTATTTTGTGGCAGCCAGTGACTGTTTTCTCATCACCTTCCGTTTTTTTGCGCCAAACAAGTCAGCAACCCTACTACTAGGTGCCATGAACAATGCATCAATACCATTCAATACCCGCTTAAATGTGGCTGTGAAAGCCGCTCTAGGTGCACCACGGTGACTCTGGCGGATGTTTCGAATATTGGGATGGGATTAGGGACACCAATTTTCACATTGTTATGGTCCAGCTCCCGGCCTTCCCCAGGGATCTCAAGCGCCGGAGTCGAACCAGTCCGTGGTGCCGCATCGTTCGGAGGTGCCCTGGTTGCACAGATTCATCCAAGGAGCCATCGGTCCAGCCCTCGTTTGGGCGTGTCCCAAAGTATCCAATTTGCCATATTTGCCGGTACCATGGTGCTCATTGATCACATCCTGGATGACTTGGGCCCACTCTCCACACATGTGATTCTCATCGTGTTTCTAATTTTTGGATATTTTTGGAGGGTAATGGTTGCCGGAGTTCTCTCACCCGGTGCTCTGGGTGACCCTGGTGATTGCCATCCATGCCACTCAGGAGGGACAGCCTGTGGCCAAGCAAGTTGCCGCCCAGTGGCAGAATGGGAAGGACTGGCACGGGCAGCGCTGGCAGGCGCAGCGTGGTGAGCTGCCAACCAGGATTGAATCAGCAACCAGGAAAGAACGGGCAAAAAATGTGGAGAGGACACAACCTGCAGGATGATTTCAGAAGCATTTGGGTTTGCTCCCAACCTTTCCACCTCAGGGCTTTGGAGCCTCTGCTTCGAACCAGTCCATGACGCAGTATCAGGAACAGGTGCCACGATGGCAACGGGGGGCCCTACTTAGATTCTACTTGGCATTTCTGGCTCACCCAAAAAAGCCTTGAGAGGGTTTCTATTTTCCAACCAGATCTGTACTGGGATGATTGCCCAATCGCAGGTAACGGGTGTCCTGGATCCTCATTGGCATCAAAGGAAGACGTGCTGGTAGATGACTTGTGAGCCTCCATGTTTGAAGCACCAAGTAACTTGCCTGTATAACAGGGCAAACTACATATGGTGCCTATGATAATCTGTGATCTAGCAAGCAAAAACACCAATAAGAATGATAGCAATAAATAGCACTATTATATCCCATCCATTTATCACCACCGGGGATTTTTCTTCGGGTTTAACGTTGGCTACACGGTGAACACGCTGGTGGCCACTCCAACAATCTCAGGCGTCGCAGCAGCAAGAGGTGGGGGTAGCGACATTTTGGAGGAACAACACTATTCATGATAATGGATAGTGGATAGCAGAGATTGGATTGGATAGGACTAGGCTTGATTGGATTGGATTAGTTAGGATGGATTAGATAGATAGGTAGGTAGGTAGGAGAGTTTTGGGAATGCAACGACTTCCCGAATCAGAAACCAAACAACATGTAACACCTGGTGAGGAGCTGTTCGGTGCGAGTAAAGTCATCGGGTCCATCACAGACTTAGCTGAAGGATAAATCCCTAACATTCTCTGAGAAGAACTACGGTTTCCGGTCGAGTTTCCCTTTAAGCAATCCATTCCGTATATCCCACAATGTACCCGACTCTATACTAGAAACAACACGCCCCACTACATGTAGAGACACAATATACATATTTCACACATGTGTGAAGAATGATCGTGCCATGTCCCAGGGCAGCATGGCAACCAGTCAAGGTCGGCTTGAGGCCAGCAAGGCCTGGTCGGTGCAATGGCTGCAATGGTGTTAGCAACGTGGTCAACCCAGTAACAAGAGGGATGGTTTAAGTTTACTCTGAGGTCTCGAGATGTTTCCATTTTGGGGGTAGTTTCTTTTCCTTCCCCCATAGCTGCAACGGGCAAAATCGATGCGCGTTTTTTGGGTTTGATATTTTGCCGAGATCTTGGGCGTATTTAACGGTCGGGCCGTCTCGGGAAGTTTTAGGGCTGATCCAGGTGATTTGGGTATCTAATCCACCCACCATGAGGGCCGTCTCGTGTGTCTAAACTTGGGATGGGATGGGAAAACCTTCGCCAGCTATGAGGGTCATGTCACAGGACTCCAGCTGGTCCCCATCGCCCGCGCTGGAGAATGATGCTCGGCGCAAGCTGCTATTTTTGTGTACATGTTGGTTGTGTCTGCAATTGGTGGCATACCAACAAACGGTTTTTTTTGGGCAATAGCAAAACATGTCTTAACGAATGGACGTTTTAGGGAAACCGGATTTTCAGACAAACCCAACTAGATCATATTGATGGTTAGTAACAGTCATATCCCATCATATGCCATATCAATCTAGTTGGGATAATTAATGGATTGAAAATATGAACTATCGCCTGTGACTGGGCCCCAGATGTCAGCCATGTTGTGCATCTTCAACCTCCCATTGGGGACAATTGATACATTGCGGCAGAAGGGCGGCGCGGGGCAGGTTCCGACCGGTGACCGGGCAACCGGGCTAACCGGGCCGGTCGACCGGCTGACTGGCCGGTTGCCCGGTTGACAAGGATCAGGGTGTGATCGCGACACCAGAGGCGGCTGACATGGCTTGTGCCCTCAGCACACTCTTACATGACTATCTCATGCGATGCATTGCAGCAGCAATTGCATATGCATCTGTGCGTGATTGGTCCTCTTTCGCAGAGTCTTGTCCCCTCACTGTGTCTGCAAAATCTGAGCGGACAGGTTGTAAAGACGGAAGTTGACACTCGCCGGAAAGTTTTCTTGCTTGTTGCAAGTGATGGTCCAACACTTACTTGGACTTGCTCACTTCCCGTGTGTGTTTACCTGCACACAGTTCTGCCGACATTCGAATGTTGGTTGCTTTCAAGAAGCCGAGGTGTCTGGGAATTCTTAGACTCCCAGTGCGTAGTGAACCGGCCGGTTGCTTGGTTGACCAGCTATTTACTGTAATGCTAGTAGTAATCGTAAGTAGTAGTCGTCGTAGTAGTAGAAGCAGTAGTAGCAGTAGTAGCAGTAGTAGCAGTAGTAGCAGTAGTAGCAGTAGCAGCATTATAGCAGCAGCAGTAGCAATAGCAGCCGCAGTAGCAGTAGCAGTAGTCGTCGCAGGAGGAGGAGGAGTAGCAGTAGCAGTAGCAGTAGCAGAAGCAGAAGCAGTAGCAGTAGCGGCAGCAGCAGTAGCAGTAGCAGTAGCAGTAGCAGTAGCAGTAGCAGTAGCAGTAGCAGCAGCAGCAGTAGTAGTAGTAGGAGGAGGAGGAAGAGCAGGAGGAGGAAGAGCAGGAGGAGGAGAGGAGCAGGAGCAGGAGCAGGAATAGGAGCAGTAGGAGCAGTAGGAGCAGTAGGAGCAATAGGAGCAGTAGGAGCACTAGGACTAGTAGGAGCAGTAAGCAGTAGGAGCAGTAGTAGGAGCAGTAGTAGAAGCAGTAAGATTAGTCGGAGCTAGGAGCATTAGGAGCATTAGGAGCAGTAGTAGGAGTAGCAGGATTAGTAGGAGGAGTAGGAGCAGGAGCAGGAATAGGAGCAGTAGGAGCAGTAGGAGCAATAGGAGCAGTAGGAGCAGCAGGAGCAGTAGTAGCAGTAGGAGCAGTCGGAGCAATAGGAGTAGTAGGAGCAGTAGTTCCGGCTTGCCAATGACTTATTTGAAGGGACCGCTTGCACCATGGGCGGTGACGTCTTGGCGCAATGCCGATACGGGTTGGAACCCAACAGGGAAATTTCCATTCAAGAATTGGAGAGGTCGTGAAGAAGGCCGCGAGTGTCAAGGGCTTGCTCCTATCACGGAACCAACAAGTCAAGATGTTCTTGGATGGCAGCACCTACCAACTTCCAGGGGCTGGCGTCGTATGGTCCAACTGGGCCTCCTTTTGTCCGCCGAGCACTCGGTTGGTGGGCAAGATTGATTTGGCGGGGCTGCGATTTTCTCGATGGATAGAAGCTCTTCGGCAAGGGTCTGCATGCCTGGTGGATGATCCTACCCTTCTTGCATAGCGGCTGGCTCAATGTGACTCCTGTGGAAGATCATGCCAGTGGAAAGGCCGGGACAGGGTCTTTTTTCATTGATGTTAGCAGAACAAGCTCATAGTTCTTGTCAAATCAATAAAAGCAACCGGTTCTTTTTACCCTTCGTCTTGTCTGTGCAGGCATCATCGGCGCGGGCCGGCGCGGGCGCAGCTGTTAGAAGCCGCAACGCGGCCAAGTCAGCTTGTTTCACTTGCGGCAGCATGGTGGCACTGCCGAAACCGCCAACGCGAAAAGGAAAGGCTCATGGCTCATGCATTCCATGATCTTGGAATAGTTTTTTTCCGGACAATGTATGGATGATCCAAAGTGGAGATTGCAAGTGCAGCCTAAGGGATATGCGCATTGAATCAAACAGATCTAGCTGCATGCGCTTTTTGAACTTGTGATGCTTTCCAGCGCAGCTTTTGTATGCTCAAGGCTGAAAAGGCTTGTAGAATTACAGGGCGGTCGTACACACAGAGATGCACATTTCAACTTTTGAGGAACCACATGTTTCCGGTCCCTGTCAGGAACTTTCACTGCTAAGCAGGCTCAGGCGTGAGCGCGTATTTGTTGCGTTAGCATTCTCTGTTGGCATGGTTTCCGGCTGCTTTTGCGTGGGCCATTGCTGTGCCTGATACTCAGCCTTGCGATGGGCGACGTTTTGATCATTTTCGAATAATATGTGTAATTTTTTGTTGGTTGGTGATCAAGTGGCTGCTCAACGTATGTGTGGCGAGGTCTGATGGGTTCCATTCTTGGGCGTTCTGCAAAAGCGCCTCAGCCCAAAAGGTTTCAATGCTTATTTTGACCCACAAGAAGTTCGCAGACGTTTTCAACCATGATCAAGATTGATCAAGTATGCTTGCATATACTTGCCCGCCCATGCCGAAACCCAACGGAAAATTTCCGGTGGCCTTTTGCATTTCGACGGGTACAACTGGCTTTGGCACTACAGGGGTGAGCAGTGGACCTACTTGGAGGCCCAGAGCAATGAGCAACATACGCAAAAGTTTGCATGATGCCTTGGCAACTATGACAGGTGATAGATGAATCCTGCTGGGATACTGTTCGTGGATGGTTCCCTTATGACGGGCGTGGCCGCCTTGATCTTGATCGTGTCTGGTATGGGTCGCCGCCTCCTTCACATGCAGATTGGGAAGAAGAAGGGTGGGCCGGGAAGGGGGGATTAAGATGCATGCATCTCAATATGTCCATCGCAATTGTTTTATTTATTTTGCCCTGTGCGCGACAGGCCGGCAGAACCACCTGCGCTTCCTCCGATGGGCAATTTCAGAGAAGGCGCGAGGAGCAGTAGTAGGTAGTAGGAGTAGTAGGAGGAGTAGGAGCAGGAGTAGGAGTAGTAGAAGGAGGAGTAGTAGTAGTAGTAGCAGTGGTAGTTGTCGTCGTAGTAATCGTGGTGGTGGTGGTGGTAATGGTAGTGGTAGTGGTAGTGAGGCCTGTTTGACCTGCTGTGGCTTTCTTTCCATTTGTCGACGGACTAGACTAGCATCTTCACGTTTTCCCATTGCAACTCCTCCACCTGAGGCGCTGGCATGCAACATTTGTTCCACATTGCATCGTTTGTCATTCCTAGTGCGAAACGTGTCATTTTTTTCTGGTACACAATTTCCCTTGTTTTCAGCTGGCTTTTTAAATCCCGGATTTCGACTCTCGTTGTACGTTTGCCAAAGATGTTCCAAAGCCTTTTCCTGCCTCTTCCTTCGCTGCTGAGATCTCGTATTATCTTGGGATGCGTTGCAAAATTCAGGTCAAAGACGAGTTGCAGACCTTGGCGAACTGGATTCTTGAAGATGACGTCGAGGACTTGCTTAATCATCACCTCTTGATGCTTCCCTATTCGCTATGTTCATGTCCTGCTGCCGATGGTTAACAACATTGTTTCACACTTGCACTGTATATGCTGCGCACATGTCGTTGAAACATCCAACGCACAACAACACAGAGGTTCTTGTCTTCCGTTTTCACCCGTTCTTGATTTCATACCTTGTTTAAACAGAACAATACACATGTCAACTGCGCCCCATTACTTTGTGTGATGTCTCTCCACGGTGATTCTGCTTTCCGTAAAATAGAAGTCGCGTAACCTGAACAGGAGCTACCGCCTGGAGTCTTCACTTTCCGGTGCTGCTGGGACGCAGGACTTGCTTGGATTTTTGAATGGTTCTTTTCTTCGTGCAAAAATAATTACTGTATCTTTTTGCACAGAACCCCTTGCCCGTCACGTAGTTGCATTGACGCATTCTGCTTGAACCTGTTACATGTCAATGCCTTTTCTGTGCAGGATTCCTGCTTCGAAGTGCCTCGTGCTCGCATCGACGGTGTCACGCCTCTTACACCGCAGTTCTCTGCGAGCAAGTTCCCACTCCCATGCTGATGTTGCGCAGCAGCGCAGCATTGAGCCTAGGGAGTTTCAATGCGCGGTACCAGGACGTAATTCTGTTTTAACGTTGGCGGCACTCTTGACCATCCAGGCCGGTCTGAGCTGACTTCTTTGCTCGTGACCCATCAATGGCCTGATGGTCAGTTGGACGCATTGCTGATGAGTTTGCTCGCCTTGGAATCATTTGGCGTGCTTTCAAAAGCTTTCTTTGCTTGCTGCGCCGCATTGCACCCGCATTGTTACTACTATGGGTTGGAAGGAGGCGCTTCAGTTCCATCGCAGCGCCTCGATCCATCTTCGCAGAACAACGGGCTGCTCACTTTTGATTCGGCGTTGCGCCATCACATCTTCCAGTTCGCATCGACCCTGCCAGACATTTTGCGTTTGTCAAAAAAATTGTCGTCGCTTTCACCATCTCTTCGGCGAAGCGCCTTGCTTGCGGACGAATTAGAATGTTCCTGCAAGCATCTCTGCGCCAACAAAGCGATCATCATACGCGAACAGCTGCATGCACACCTCCGACTAGCTTGCGGATGTTTTTTGCAGTCACGCCACGACGACGGTGGAACGTCTACCAGTCTACCACATGATCACATTGCGCAGCCCAGGCCACAGATTGTGGACTTCCAGGACTGCGTGTGCCCGCCTTTCGTGTGTGCGCATTGCTTTGCCGCCGCTTCTGCAATTTCGACAATGTGGGGCGCTTTTCTGCTTTGTCGGCATTGCTGGACCTTGAAAGTGAACCCACCGAATCGCAGCCTGCCAGTGCTGCGAAATTTCTGCGGACAATGTTGTTCTCTCGCACCTTTCCCCACGCATACAAATTGCGGGTGTGAAGCTGCTGCCTTTCCAGCCGATTTCAATTGCGAGGAATCAATCACCTTCGTGTGCCAGAAGCCAGTATATATTTTTCACGCAATCGCAGCCTGTCAACCGGGCAGCCGTCAACTGGGCAACCGTCCGGTCAGCCGGTCGCCGCCATACCCCATTGCGGATACAACGGAGGAAGTTAGGGGTATGCTTAAAATTGATTGCTGATCCTAATGTCCCATTTTCCTGATGAAAACCATGTATAGCTTGGGAGGACTGCACCCATTCTCAGACTCTAGCGACAAAACATTTCAGCAAATGCGCTGATGCCATGAATCCCCGAAAAGTTTGGGAAAGTCAGGAGATCCTCAGGTTGGCCGTTGACGATGGCCGTTAGTGACTGGTTCTACAAACATGTAACATATTAGTTAATGTGGTAACTTCACAAGTAAGCCATGCCTAATAATTGCGGTTTTTTATTGAGCAATAATCCTTTGACTTGGATGATGTAAAATTTCGTCAAATGGCTGTTGAATGGGATGATAGATTCTTGGGTTTGGCACATTGACCGTCTTACATAATCATTTTTGGCTTTACCAATGTTGGCCATTTCCTCCTAGTTTAGTTCGCCACGACATCCTCTTTCGGATCCGGAGGGAAGCTACTATTCGATTTCCCGAAGAAATCGACGCTTTGCAAACCAAAGCCTTTTGCATTGTATTGTTTTTGTCTTCTTTTGTTTTTGGAGGTATTTCAGGTATTTCATATGATCTCTTGATGGGATCAGTGTGGACAAGAATCTTCCCAGCTTTTTTTGGCGATGTTCGTTAGCTTGGATGTGCATCCTAGTTAGCAGGTGGTCAATAAGCCCATCATTGGGTGTACCCGATATAAACCTATGAGCGGGTTATTGTTTTACTATAACTCTGTAGGATACAACTATAAGATTAGCAGGGTGTAACGATAATAAAGGATAGCGGCTATATATAATATAACTACAGCATGACAGTAACCACTAACTACATAGAACTACTGTATGCATATATGTATAAACATGTATGTCTATATAAATGTGTGTGTGTGGTTTTTTGAAGCTTGTGATAGCATGTTAAGCATTTCACTTCCGACGCCTGGAATGCACTGAGGGTCATACCATGAAGTTCCCAGGGTTCCACCATCAGGCCTGTCGGGAGGAATGCTGCGGCGATATAACATGGATTGGGAATAGAGGAACATAGGGTAATTAGTGCAAATCAATGGGGGTGGTTTAAAAAAATATATATAAATATATCTATATATATATATATGTATTTATACATGTATATCGTTTGTATATTTAAATTTAAATATGCACATATGTCTAAACATGTTTTCTTGACGTGTATAAAACGTACATATCAATTCATCATGGTATTGTTTCCGTAAACCAAGTCATAAAATAAAATAACTGTGTTCGGGTTATATATATATATGTATGTATGTATGTAGGTAGGTAGGTAAGTAGGTAGGTAGGTAGGTAGGTATGTATGTATGCATATCAAATGGGGAATATGTTAGTGATAATATTTGATAATACTGGATAATTTCCTTTTCCCGAAACATGGGGCATGGGGATATAAAGGCATGGGGGATTTCATGGGAATAGGTGTTGGGGTTTCCCACCGGAGTTTCTTGGATTTCTTCATGGAAAATCGGGAATATGGATATCCGTGGCTCCTTAGTTCTCACCTAGCCACGGGATAGTAACAAACAATATGGAGGATAGAAAGTGATGGAATTGGGATATTACGGGAGAAACGTTGGCAGCAAAATTGGGGTATGTTACAAAAGACAGCGATCAAGGAGATATTAACCAGCAATGGTGGGCCTGTCAAAAAATTGTGATTTTCACCATAATTGACCCACAAACTGACCATTTGGAAGGACCATTTTGTTTTCCCCATTGTGAGGTGGCCAATTGAATACCCCCTTGTGTTGGATCTATTCATGAATTGGGGACCCAGTCGAATGAAAAACAACCTTGGGATTATTTTGACCTGCAGGATTTGACCAACAACGATGGGGGTTTAAGCGGCAGCGGTAACCAATCAAACATGGCAATGGGAACATTGTCAAGCAGCCATGGGCGTATACTACAATATTAGCGTGCCAACAAGAACGAAAAACCACCAAAAGTCATCAGGGCGATTTTTTCGGCATGTTTGCTTACTGGAGGGCGACGTAGGAGTGCACAACCTGTACATTTCCATGTGCATTTTCCTTGCAAAAATAACAAGACGCCAGAGAATGACCATGTCCCAGACGTCCGCCATTCCATCCGTTTTTTACCTGTGAGATTTCGGAAAGTTACTTGGGGATGGGTCAGCGATGAAATGCTATAGTGAAACTCCAGAAATATCGACCATCGGTGAACAAAACCACTCCCACAACGCCATGTTGGATTCGCCTAAGGCCTGGCCTGCTCCAGTTCCCATCCCGGCCAACTTGCCTAAGACTTCGGACTTGACGGTTTCAAAGCCGGTCTGGGCAACCCATTTGGCGTGCTGGATGACCTTCAAAAAAATATATGTTTTGATGAATGGATATAAATGGGCTACAGGGCAACCATGATGCATGATATGATTGATAATTGATTGATATGATCATGGATAGTATTATTCCAATGATAGTCAGGCAATCATGACATCATTGATCATCTATAATATGCCATTGTGATATCCATGGATAATATGATACTTGTTGAGGCCATAAATGGTTGTTTTTTAATTGGGGAATCATCCGAAGACATGGGGGGGATGGGGTAAACACCATCTGGCTTCACCGATGGTCATCTCCGATGTATGATCAATGTACAGAGATCAACCAAGAATGGCCCTTAGATCTCATTTGAGAGGTTTCAAAATCCCTGGTTCCAGTTGGTTGATGACTACTTTTTGAGGCAACAAAAGCTTATGCTTCCAAAATAGTGGGGCATTCAGAACATCACCATCAGACTCTTCGTAAATACCAAACATTTTGGTTGGGGATTTCTACATGACTCAGCAAGCAGTGAAGGTTGACCTCATCCCTAACAATCGTCAATGGCAGTGGATTGGGGAGGATTTTGCCATCCATTTAAGTGGTAGCATTGGGGATTCGGGGATTGTTGGGTTTACCACATTGGCCAGCATTTTTTTGGGGGTTGTCTGAAGACTGGTTGCTGCACCCAAAATGGGTTTTCATCAACTTCTCGATTCAAATATTGGTTATATTCTCATAAATTTTGCATAATCTTCGGGCAAACCCAAAATATGGTGAGGAACCATACAATGATTTTCATATGCCTATACTCTATTTGGTTACCCTCCAGCAACTTAACTTGGCGATGGACAATCACCCCATTCTTGTTGATGATCATCCCAATTTCCTTAAAACCCGTTTTTCTTCCAGCCAACCATGTTAATCTCACTTTTCGGGAAACTGTCGGACCATCATCCCCATAGACTGTGAGTTTTGCATCCCATTCCCAGAGGGAATAGCCCCATCATTGTGATTCTATCCGGTGGCAGTGGGTAACTGACAGCTTTCTCCAAGTATCACTTGGACCAAACGCAAAAGCCAAAAATCCAGTGGCTGGGAGGGGGGACGGGGTATCCCATTTTCCGTTCGATGGGAGCCAGTGAACTTAGACATAGCCTCCACCCTCTAACAGTGGGCAATGAAGGTTGATAGGAAACCCCCAAGAAAGAGAGGAAAAAAGAGATGATAGGAAACTGGTGGTCACTGTTGGTGGTCGCTGTTGGGCTGTGTCCGAGAGAAGTATTAGAATATATTAGACACATTTTTTTCCCCGGTTCTTTCTGGGTTGTACCGACCAAAAATCAGATAAATTTGGTTAGATAAATCAGCATTGCCCAAATCTTTAAGCAGTAGGTCTCCAATAGTTATCCATCTAATAGTCCCAACCCTGGTTTTTTTTTTCCATCATTTTCCTCAAACGGGGGCATACCTCGTTATCCTCAAACACACCCACCCGAGGCGGCCAAGGTGCCCCCGCACCAGGCCTTGCAGAATGAGGCTGGGTATAGATATGTTGGGTGACTGAAGAGTAAGAATGGTAGTGGTAAAGGACAATGATAATGGCGATGCTTCTAGAATCTTTATGTGCACACATCCACACACACATACACATAATCATACATATATATATATATACATTCATAGAGATGTGCCTATACGTAGATCATGGATAGTGCATATGAGTTTTAGTGATATGGACAATGATAAGGACAAGGACAACGAGCATGATTAACATACATCACAAGAAATCATTAGAATAGAGAGAGAGAGAGAGAGATAGCTAGCTAGCTAGCTAGCTAGCTAGGTAGGTAGGTAGGTAGGTAGATAGCTAGCTAGCTAGGTAGGTAGATAGATAGATAGATAGATAGAATGATAAGCAACACCCAGATAGCCTCTCCATCATTTGGGGCCAAGAATACACCATTCGAAAGCCCAAAAGTACTGCAGGGAAAATTTCGACTCATGGGCGTACCGGTATTCTCTGTAAACAGAATTTGCTGGAGTCGCAGAGTCCGAGATGTAGGGGAAGGCCCCTCATGTTGCGTGGCCCATGAGAGGACGGTTTTTCCATCATTCAGAGTTTTGGTTTATATTGATTAATGGATAATCATGGTTAATAGTGGATGATCACCATTATTAACCACTATTAACCATCTCAAAAATACGTACGCTTTGCCGTACGCATTCGGGGGGTGCGCCAGTTGACTATTTTGGGTATGGTTTATTCCGCTGGTACTAAAATTTTCACCCAGGACCCAAACCCGGCAACGATCATTTTTTGCAATGATAAAAGCTGTAACTTGTGTGTTTTTTGGGCAATTTTCATAAGTTTATATAGGGGATATATTCTGGGATATATAGTCCTGTCTATTGATCTTTTATGTTTCATGGCTGAGTTCGCGAGTTTGCCTTTTGGGAAACAAACCACAACGGTGAACAAAACCACTCCCACAACGCCATGTTGGATTCGCCTAAGGCCTGGCCTGCTCCAGTTCCCATCCCGCCCAACTTGCCTAAGACTTCGGACTTGACGGTTTCAAAGCCGGTCTGGGCAACCCATTTGGCGTGCTGGATGACCTTCAAAAAAAATGTTTTGATGAATGGATATAAATGGGCTACAGGGCAACCATGATGCATGATATGATTGACAATTGATTGATATGATCATGGATAGTATGATTCCAATGATAGTCAGACAATCATGATCATAAATAATTGATCATCTATAATATGCCATTGTAATATCCGTGGGTAATATGATACTTGTTGAGGCCATAAATGATTGTTTTTTAGTTGGGGAATCATCCGAAGACATGGGAGATGGGGTAAACACCATCTGGCTTCACCGATGGTCATCTCCGATGTATGATCAATGTACAGAGATCAACCAAGAATAGCCCTTAGATCTCATTTACGAGGTTTCAAAATCCCTGGTTCCAGTTGGTTGATGACTACTTTTTGAGGCAACAAAGTAGAAATATTACGACCCCTATACCACCACTGTATATACTAGTATTATCTCACTCCACACTGTAGCTATGATTCCAACTTACTAATGATGTTGTACAGTCATCGCAATTCCAACATTCAATGTATATAGCCATGTACATAGTAACGGTAGCATTATCCCCAATCCAGTCGGGTTTAATGCCATAATCCGTAATTACATGGCTCAAGTGCTTAGTATAAAATAAGTGCTTGTGATCTATGGAGCAAGGGAGATTAACTTGTGGTTTTGTGTTTTTCCCCTTGTTTCTCTGGTTATGCTTAGTGTTCTTTTGCTGGGAAAGTCTTAATCTCCCTTGTCGGTAACTTAGGCCCCACGCAACCTCGTTCACTGCCTTTCACTTTTTCGCTGATTCCCTGTTTCACTGTTTTATGGTACCAGAGGGTCTGTTGGAAGGGGCTGCTTTGAGCGCCTCCGAACCGGTTGCTGACGGGAACCCGGAAGCAGAGGCGGAAGTTGCTGAAAGCACTGAAGTCGCTGTTGAAGGTAGTACTGGATTTAACTGGGCAGACGCCTCTGAGGAATCGCCCTTGCCGACAGCTGGTTTTGAAGTGGGAGGGGCTGCATCTAGTGCCCTACAGGACGACGCCGACGAGGACTTCGACCTCTTAAAGTTTGACGCACTCTCCCTTCTGGATCCGAAACCGGAGGAGGTAGTCACTACTGAACAGTTGTTTGAGGCACTTGAGGCTGACGCCGATCCCACCGCCGAGCCAGCCGAACAGCTTGAGGCATCCGATCAAATTGAAGCAGATACCAATCTCGAAAATAATAACCCCGAAAATTTAGTTCCAAAAGAAGAAGCTGATTTTTCTAATAACCCTGATCAAGAAACTAGTGCTGAGGTTGCAGACTCCGCTGCAGATCCGATTGTAGGAAGCTCTCCATCCGTAGTTGAGCCAGATCCTAATTCGACATTTGCTCCGGTATACGTCCAGCACCTTGGAGGGGTAGCGGAAGAGGACGAAGTCCCACCGCCCCCAACATCACCATTTCTTGAGCAGGAAGGGGCTGCCGCAGGCGCCTCAACATCTGGACACGTCCAAACAGGCCATTCTCCTGCAGGGCCGTCCAGAGGTCCCCGTGTACGTGGTACTAAAGGCGGGAAGAAAGCCCAAACTAAGAAACTCATCCAGCGTTGGCAAGCCGATTTTGATCGTTTGGCTAATTTCCTTTGGGACGAGGCGGAATTCTGGCTCAGGTACGTCCACCACGCAGAAGCAAGTGCTGAACTGATTTGGACCGTCCGTGTCTTTAGAGTCCTCTACAACCATTGTACGCTAAACCAGATCTTAGTCCATTTTGCTAATACCTTTGCTCCATATAGAAATTGGGTCTTTACCAACGGTTATCGAAGAGGTGAATTGCATCTTGCTCCAGATACAGCTGCAAATACTGTTTTGCCTGATAGGGATCACATTAACTTGCAAGCTTTTGGGGACCCAGATCCACCTAGATCCGTTTGGGACGACTATAATACCTATAGGGGTGCACAGCCAAAAGGTAAGGCAAAAGCCAAAGCTAGTGTGTTTACCCAAAATACTGAACTACCATCTGAACCCGAGCAAGCTACAGCCTTAGGTGTTGACCCATCACTAGATAGGGGTGTAATTTCCTCTGAAGAAACCCACACTCCATCACCAAGGGGCCCACCGAAAGCTAAAGCTAGGCCTAAGCCAGTGTCTCAACCCAAGGAACCTGATCACCCACCGCCGTGGGTGCCATCCCTTCGACCTGCAGGCCATCAATCCGCTCCGAAAGTTTCAGAATCCGTAGCCAGTGTTCCTCCGCCACGTGTCACGGGAGGGGCTGCTGAAAAGCGCCCCAAACTTGAAAAGGCTGAGCAAGCATCCGATCCAAAAGCATCCGGCGAAGCATCCGTGCCTGAGCCGCCTAAGCCTAAAGCATCGGACCCCAAAGTTGCTAAGCCCCCCAAGGATAATCCTTTAAATAGATTAGGATCACCACCTAATTACCCAGCACCTCCGGTGCCACCACATCGAGATTTCCACCAAACTTTAGGACCCCCTCCGCAGCGGCCGCCAAGAGCTGCAACGCCAAGAGGAGAGAGGGCTGCAACAGCGATCCCTCCGCCACCATCTCATCCACCGCCATCTTGGACAAGGCAGAGCGTGGGAGACCACGTGAGAGAGCTGGCACACCCCCTGCCCGAAAAGTTAAAGGTGGTAACATAAAACCCCAGCTGCGTCAGCACCCGCTGCGCCTAAGCCAGTGAGCCGATCAAGATCACGGGTTCCAGCCACCCTCATTCCGAGGGAAGACGGTTCTTTTGCTGATCCGGACACCGAAGTCTTAAGGCGTGCACGGGGTGGTAACTTAGGTACCCCTAGTCTTAGCTCCCGACCAATAGCTCTTAGGCCTACTGACACTCAATACCCCCCAGTAGTAATCAACTCAGAGGGCACTTGGGTGAGAATCTCTAAGCCCCCAGGGGCCACCGGTCGCGAGCCTGCAACCGTCCCTGTTGCTATCTCAGGTGTTGCCGCATCTTCAGACGACCCCCACGAGCTTTCCGACGAAGTGTGGAGGGATCCATCTCTGATAGGCAGTAATACCACTTTGGTAACCTCCCATAACACCCAAATAATCCCAATCTCAGAGCCTGAAGGCCTAGTTGCCGTTGATTCAGAAACTGTAGAAGGGGTTGAAGAAGAAGAAGAAGCCACTGCCCCACCGCCGAAACGCAGGGCCATTGGTATCACAACATCTTCTGAGCGTAGGCAGGTTTATCAATCCCGACGTAGGCCACCCCTTCAACCTGAGCCAACATCAACCGCTGCCGCTTCCATCCGAACCTGACGCCCCGGGCGACGATCCGTCTGAACCCGGTGAACCTCAAGAAGGCGAAGGCGAGGAGGAAGAGGACCACTCATCTGATCCTCCTGAAGCCCCTCCCGAGGGCGAGGAAGAGGTAGAAGTTGAGGTTGGGGTTGAGGAAGAGGCTGCTCCATTAGCGCCCCAGGAACATAGCACTCCATTGCAGCCATCTCCAAAAGCATCATCCCCAAGAGGTAGTGTTAGTAGGTTTTTGCCAACACCTGCAACAAGTGCTGAGCGTTCCAGATCACGTCATAGGGACACACCACAAGAGGAAGAGGCTCCAGTTGCCGTAACAACTTCTTCAACAAGAGTTTCAGGTACAATCCAAACCCAAATCTTCCGAGACGGCACCAAAGCCGAGGTTTTTGTTCCTGATATCCCAAGATCCAAGACTCCTCCAAAGTCAATAGGTTCGCCACCACCTAGATCATCATCTCAACCAGCTAAATCTAAGACGCCTCCACCCGGAGTTAGTGCGGCAAGTAGGTCCGCATCAGCAGTTCCACCCTGGCGGGAAGGGGCTGCACGTGCGCCCCAAGGAGGTCCTCCAATCAAAAAGAAATATAAGGCTCCTCCTAGACCTCCCTATAACTACTCCGTCACTGTTGGCCAAGCTTACGGGCCAGGTGTTGATCCAGATCCACCAGCG